CCAATGTCAGCTGATCCAGCAGAAAATGAAGTGAACCAAAAATCCTTGTGTGTCTAACCTTAGTGGGTATGGGCAGGGAGAAGAAAGAAAAGTTGTATTTGAATTCTTCCACACTATATATACACTTAGGTAATATTAATTGTAAGCTCTAAATCCCAATAATCATAACACCAGCAAAGTATATATTAAAACATCCCAAATGCTTGAATTTTGAATATTTGGAAAATCTTTATGTAACTACTGATTTAAAGTTTTGGCTGTTTTGACACTTTTCTAGGATGCTAAAGTAACTATGCTGGGAGTTATCCCAAGTATCGTTAGGACATGGAAAACTACAAATTGTACTGCTGGCTTCGATTGGTCAACCATACGGTAGGTACATGTGATTGTAATATTTGAGATTGGTTTTTCTTCATACCGAACATTTGTTTACTATTTCTCCAGTCTCCTGTGGTTTCTTTTTGTCTCGGTGATTATGTTTGTAACTTCATGTATTTCATATCTTTCAATAAAATGGAGACACCTATTTATACAAGACTACATGTACTAACTAAGGAAAATAAATCACTAAGAATATACTTAGAATCCCTAAGATTAGTCAAATATAATCATATCAGAATATACACAGAATCCTTAAGATTAGCTGAATATAATCCTATTAGAATAATGTCTAACACTCCCCCTCAAGTTGGAGCATAGATATTGATTATGCCCAACTTGTTACACAAATAATTTACTCGAGGCCCATTCATGGCTTTTGTAAAAAGATCTCCTAATTGTTCTCCTGTTTTCACAAACCCTGTAGAGATTAAGCCTCGTTGTATCTTTTCACGAATGAAATGACAATCAACTTTAATGTGCTTGGTTCGTTCATGGAAGACAGGATTGGCTGCAATATGGAGAGCTGCCTGATTGTCACACCATAGCTTCGCAGGGATAGGAGCCTTGAGTCCTATCTCATCCAGAATGTGATATATCCACAAGATTTCACAGGTTGCTTGTGCCATTGCTCTATACTCTGACTCTGCACTTGACCGTGAGACAACACTCTGCTTCTTGCTTCTCCACGAGATCAAGTTCCCACCGAAGAAGACACAAAATCCAGTTGTAGATCTCCGATTCTCCTTAGACCCTGCATAGTCTGCATCTGCAAAACACTCAACCTTCATATGTCCATGGTTTTGATACACAATTCCACGCCCTGGAGCCCCTTTCAAGTAGTTCAAGATTTGTTCAACAGCTCTCCAATGATCAACAGTTGGTGATGCCATAAACTGACTTACAACACTAACCGAGTAAGCGATATCAGGACGGGTTACAATCAGATAGTTTAGCTTACCAACCAATCTCCTATATCTTTCTGGATCATCAAATGGCTCCCCCTCTGGTGTCAACTGTGAATTTGGGATTATTGGAGTATTGCACGGCTTAGCTCCCAGTTTCCCCGTTTCTGTCAATAGATCAAGTACATATTTTCTTTGGGAGAGAAATATACATTTCTTACTCCGTATTACCTCGACACCTAGAAAATACTTTAATGTACCAACATCTTTAGTCTGAAATTGACTATGAAAAAGGTCTTAAGAGATGCAATACCAGCCGTGTCACTACCGGTGATGACAATGTCATCCACATAGACAACTAATAAGATAATACCTGTTTTAGAATGCTTATAAAAAACAGAGTGATCAGACTTCCCTTTCACCATGCCAAACCTTTCAATTGCTTGACTGAATTTTCCAAACCATGCACGAGGGCTTTGTCTTAGGCCATATAGAGATTTGCGAAGGCGACAAACTTTACCATACTCCCCCTGAGCAACAAACCCGGTGGTTGCTCCATGTAAACTTCTTCATGGAGATCACCATGTAGAAAGGCATTCTTAATGTCCAGTTGGTGTAAAGGCCAATCATGCGTAGCAGCCATAGAGATGAGCAATCTAACAGAAGTCAATTTTGCAACAGGGGAAAAAGTGTAAGAGTAATCAATACCATAGGTTTGAGCATACCCTTTTGCAACAAGACGTGCCTTCAATCGAGCCACTGACCCATCAGGATTAACCTTCACCACAAACACCCATTTGCACCCAATGGCCTTCTTACCTATAGGTAAATCCACCAAGTCCCATGTACCATTGAAATCCAAGGCATTCATTTCCTCAATCATAGCATTACGCCAACCCGAATGAGACAGAGCTTGTTTGACAGTTTTAGGAGTTTGTATAGAATCAAGAGAGGCAATAAAAGAGCAGGAAATAGGGGTTAAGTGAGTATAAGAAACAAACGATGAAACAGGATAAGTACATGACCTTTTACCTTTACGAAGGGCTATGGGCAAGTCAACTTGATCAGACGACGAAGAGACCGGCTCAGGACATGAATCGGGCATATTGTCTGGGTTGGGGTCAACGATATTTGAAATAGACCGTTGTTTACGAGAATATACCTGAGTGATTGGTGGTCGGAAAGGTGGAATAGATGCGGAAGTAGTGGTAACCGTATAGATGAGAACATCATCATCCTCCACATGGCTTTCGGATTCTGAAGAAGATGAGAAGGGAACATCTTCATGAAATGTGACATCAATAGACACTAGATATCTTCCCGTTGACGGACAATAACACCTATACCCTTTTTGGACAAGAGAATATCCCAAAAAAATGCATTTTAGAGACTTTGGATCTAATTTTGTGATATGAGGCCTAACATCTCTCACAAAACAAGTACATCCAAAAGTTTTCGGTGGAATAGGATACACAAATTTTTGAGGATAAACACAGTGATAGGGTGTTGCACCATGCAAGACTGAAGATGGCATACGGTTGATCGAAAAACATGCAGTAGAAATTGGATCCGCCCAAAAGTGTTTAGGAACCTGCATTTGGAACAGGAGAGCCCAAGCAGTTTCTAGTAAGTGCCTATTTTTCCTTTCAGCAACCCCATTCTGAGATGGGGTGTCAACACAAGATGATTGATGTAAAATACCATGTTCAAGCATATAAGAAGAAAATGTTTCAGAAAAATACTCTTTAGCATTGTCACTTCTTAATACACGAACAGGTATATTAAATTGTGTTTGTATCTCAGCACAAAAAGCACGGAAATGAGAAAACAATTCAGAACGACTTCTCATGAAATATAACCAGGTCATGCGAGAGTAGTCATCAACAAAAGTAACAAAATATTGAAATCCAGATTTAGACATAACACGACATGGACCCCAAACATCTGAATGAACTAACTCAAATGGAGCATTTGCTCGTTTATGGACTCTAGGACTCAAAATAATTCGATGATGTTTAGCAAACTGACAAGACTCACAATTTAAAGAAGACACCTTACTAAATTGCGGACACATCTTTTTCAACAACGGTAAAGAAGGGTGTCCTAAACGACAATGAACTTCAAAAGGTGTACCCATCCCAAAGCAGGCAACAGTTCTTGGAGTGTTAGAATCAAGAATATAGAGGCCACTAGACTCATGTCCTCTACCAATAATCTGCTTCGTCGTAAGATCCTGGAACAGACAATGAGTAGGAAAGAAAGTTATAGAACAATTAAGAGCATTAGTGATTTGACTAACAGAAATCAAATTAAAAGACAAGTTAGGAAGGCTCAAGACAGAGGACAACGGGAGTTTAGGAGTTGGATTAGCAGTGCCTATCCCAAGCACCCTAGAGGTGGATCCATCCGCTAGAGTGACCTGGGGAGAGGAAGAAGAGGATTGAAAGGTAGAGAGGAGACTAGAGTTACCTGTCATATGATCCGTGGCACCCGAATCAATAACCCATTTGGAAGCGGAAGAGACGAGGCAAGTGTTGGGATTACCTGAGGTGGAAGCAGCTACAACTGAGGCAGATGATGAGGATTCTTGGTACCTTAGGAACTTAGCATAATCATTTGCAGAGAGTACAACCGTTGTCTCACTTTTCTCACTATTAGCTTCGGAAGACACCACATTAGCATACCGATTTCCTTGATTTCTAGTCTGAAGCTTTCGGCAATCCTTCTTCATGTGCCCCGGTCTGTGACAATAGTGACAAATGATTGTATTAGACTGCTGTCCATGAGAATCCCTATTGTGATATGATGACTTCACAGGCTCCTCCTTTGACTTCTGGCTGACAAGGACGCTACTTGACTGAGGGGGATGGTAGGTCTCTGCGCGTAAGACTCTAGAGAATACATCAGATAGCGATTTGAGTTCTGCACTAGACAATATCTGTGATTTGGCTGGTTCTAGCCGAGGATGAAGGCCAGCCAAAAAACTCATGATGGCCATTTGTTCTCGCTGTTTCTGCTGCTCTTTTATATCCAACGTGAATGGCATTAACTCATTAAGCGCCTCATAAGTTTTTTTGAACTCCATAAAGTAGGTCTGCAGAGGTTTGTCAAGCATTTCGGTCCGATAAAAAGTCTTACAAACATCATAGATTCGAATAATGTCGCCCTTACCCGAATACAAAAAATTAAGATAGTCTAAAAGCTCTTTTACAGTTTCACAGTGACTGACAAAACCAAATATCTCAGATTCAATTGAATTCCGTATTTGAAGAAATAACTTAGCATCATCACGCAACCAAGTTTGTTTAGTTTTGTCATCCTCAGGTGGATTTTCAGTCATATGACCATCTTTGTCAATACTACGCATATATATTTTAATGGTTCGTTTCCAATCCAAATGATTTGAGCCATTTAGTTTGTGTTCTGTGATTCTTGCATTGATTGGAAGAGTATCAGACACAACAAGAGACCGATTTTCAGTCATTATGCTAGACAACCCAAACCACCCAAACCAAACAAACAGAGGCAATTCTCCAAACCCACACAAAATAGGTAGCAGGCAGTCACAAACCAAACAACCAGCAATGCTTCAAACCCACACAAACCAAACAGCTAGCACAACACTGTCGACCAAAAGAGAAGACAGAAAAATATTACTGGGACCTTCAATGCCAAAACCGAGCCTAGAGCAGTGTTGTGGAAGGCCAGACGACCTTGGGAAGGGAAACCGAAGCAGATTCCGGCAGCAGAAGAAGGCTCATGCGCAGAAGAAGAGAACGGGAGAAAAAAAAAATCTGTTTTTTTTTTTTTTTTTTTTTTTCTTACAGAGGTTCTGATACCATGTAACTTCATGTATTTCATATCTTTCAATAAAATGGAGACACCTATTTATACAAGACTACTACATGTACTAACTAAGGAAAATAAATCACTAAGAATATACTTAGAATCCCTAAGATTAGTCAAATATAATCATATCAGAATATACACAGAATCCTTAAGATTAGCTGAATATAATCCTATTAGAATAATGTCTAACAATGTTAAACGTCATACATATATGACTTTTTCATGAATGTGGTAGTCGCTTTGGCTCCACCGGTGAGGCGTCCAGCGTGGATGAATACCTCTGGCTCATGGGAAGAGCTCGATACAAACCTGTGATTGAGTATTGTGGTGGTACAGAGATTGGTGGTGGCTTTGTAACTGGTTCACTGTTGCAGCCCCAAGCTTTGGCAGCATTTAGCACAGCAGCTATGGGCTGTAGTCTCTTCATTCTTGGCGAGGATGGACTTCCTATTGTAAGTGCCTTCCAACTTCACATTATGCATGTCTCCTATTGTTAGGATCAAGCGCTTACCACTACGTCAAAAGCTATAGCTAGTAGTGAAGGCGCAATTTTATTTTTATTTTCTTAATAGACTGCCATCACATTTTCAAAGAGCCAAGGTGCTGGAGCCTTTTATCGGCCGGCTCTGATACCACTTGTTAGATCAATTCCCCATCCCTTGCTGGGACTCAAACCCGTGACCTGACTCTGATACCACTTGTTAGGATCGAGCGCTTACCACTACGTCAAAAGTTATAGCTAGTAGTGAAGGCGCAACTTTATTTCCTTATAGACCGTCATCGCATTTTCAAGAGTCAGGGTGCTGGACTTGGCCTTTTACCGGCCTCTGCCCAACAATCCCCTTAGCCACATGGTGCTGGACTTGGCCCTTACTGGCCTCCGTCCAACACCTGTTTCATAGGCTGTGACTTTAATGGATAAGATTTATTCGTTAGTATATTCTACTCTACTTTAGGAAAGGACTCAAGTTTCTATATATCAAATTTCCTTTGGTGAACATGAAATAGTCACAAAATACATTTCTCATGTTACAGCATGGAATCTTTAAATGCTATGTATTCACAGTTAATAACCTCCCACTGCTGCTGCTACATGAAATTTAGCACCTTTTAAAGAAATAATTTCCGATTCTCTAGGCGCCCGAAGCTCCAGGAATTGGTGAATTGGCACTTGGATCCCTAATATTTGGAGCATCAAGCACAGTTCTGAATGCAGACCACTACAAGATATACTTCAAAGGAATGCCTGTTTGGAATGGAAAGGTAAGAGAATAATCATGGCAATCTTAGCTGTTATACTTATATTATACATTCATTGCTGCCTGTTATTTCTTGCTTGTACTTAGAGACTCAGAAGGCATGGAGACGTCTTTGAGCGTACTTGTAGAGGGTATTATCGTGCACATGGTCGAGCAGATGATACTATGAATCTTGGCGGTATCAAGGTCTGCTTTCATACACTAGAAGCTATAAACACATATATAGTCAAGTGAAGTCATATTCTAAGTTCTTTAACACTTACTATGAAATTTAGCACCTTAGTCATGCTCTGATCTCTCTTTTCTGAAAGCTATGGATCGGGATATCATGTTTGGCTGCAGGTAAGCTCGCTTGAGATTGAGCGCATTTGTAACGCAGTGGACGATAATATTCTCGAGACTGCTGCCATTGGGGTGCCACCCGTGGGAGGCGGGCCGGAGAAGTTGGTAATTGTTGTTGTCTTCAAAGATTCAGCAGATGAATCGAAGCAAAACTTGGGTGCATTGATGACTTCCTTCAACTCGTCTCTGCAGAAGAAACTGAATCCTCTATTCAAGGTAAGAACAGTTTACGGCTTTGCTGATAGATGGTAATATCAGAATCTCAAAACTGATATCTGCACGGTCTTAGCTCACTGGTTCAATAGATAGTATTTGGAACTAGAGACCAAAGTTCAAAACTCGGCAGTAGCACTTTGGGGATGATGCCCAAAGTGAGCAGATCCTTGCGCCAGACTCCGGCATTTAGCCTTGTCTGTTGGAGTTATTGTGATTTACATTTTTCCAAATGCACTGTTGAGTCAGGGTGGGCGATTCAACTTTTTCGAAGAATCTAGAAACTGACCAATGTAGTGTGCAGGTTTCCAACGTTGTAACGCTTCCTTCTCTTCCAAGAACTGCAACAAATAAGGTCATGAGAAGAGTTCTGAGACAGCAGTTTTCTCAAGCTGGTCGGGGTTCAAGATTGTAAAATAAAGTATAGAATATGATGCCCGCGGGCTTAGCTCATTGGTTCAGTATTTGAGAGAAGTATACAATATGACAAACAACACTATAATTATCATCAATAATGCCACTTCTTCTACTATAATATAATTTATAAATGCCTACCTGAAAATCTTTTTTCATACTACCAAAACATCATTAATTCCATAGATATCTGATCCGTTTTTGTACCCTCCATTTTCATTTTTTTTTTTTTGTGTGTGTGTGTGTGTGTGTGTGTGTGTGTGTGTGTGTGTTCTGGGATTGTGCATGCTTTAATTGATTTTTATACATTATAAATATGCTTTATGCCTTTATGGTATCGAATAAAATGGTTAATCGCATAAAACGCAATATGATAAGATAAGAATTAATTTCACTTTTGGTCCCACGACTTTTGAGTTCTTATCACTTTTGGTGCACAACTTTAAATTTTTTCAATTTTGGTGCCTAACTTTGTTATTTTTATCAGTTTAGGTCTTTCTAGCCAAATTGACGGTAAAATATTTCTAGATTTTATATTTTAGGGGCAAAATCGTCATCCCATGGAAAGATCTTCAATATTTAAACAAAAGAAAAATCAGATTAAGAGGAAAAGAAGAGTTTGCCAATGGTCGAAACTATAAATCCCATAGATCTGTCTGGTTTCTGCCCATCTTCCCCATTATTCTCATCATCAAACACCTATAGATATGATTTTACGGTGATTTTGTTTAGATATTGAAGATGTTTCCTTGGGATGACGATTTTACCCCTAACAATATAAAATCCAACAACATTTAACTGTCAATTTGGCCGAAAGGACCAAAATTGATAAAAATAACAAAGTTAGGCACCAAAATTAAAAAATTTTAAAGTTGTGCACCAAAAGTGATAGAACATCAAAAGTCGTGGGACCAAAAGTGAAATTAATTCGATAAGATAATTTGTTTTCTTTGATCATGCATGAAAAGAAAAAGAGAAAATTACACTTTTGGTCTTGTGATTATTGGGGGTCTTGTTAATTTTAGTATTTACTTTAAAAACTAACAATTTAGTCTCGTAACTATGCAACTTTTAACATATTTGGTCATCTCGGTGAAATATTGTCGAAAAAATGTAAATATTTTTAAATTATTTATTCATAGGGATAAAACGGTCAATTTAAACAAGCAACTTTGGCATTAGATGGTTCCGAAAGAAACCCAGTGCAACCTTCACAGCATCGCCGACCTTTCCCAGCTTGCCAATGCTCTAATAGATAATAAAACTAATAATCAATTAAAATTGGTTTAAAATGCGTGTAGGATTTCTGGATTTTCTCATACGAAGAACAACGCCGAATTTTCCATTCCCCACTGTTCCCTACGAAGTCTCTAATAACATTTTCTTTCTTAGAATTACAATTCCATGAGCTACTGAGTTCAACATCCCTATTTCTAAGCTTCTCGGCAACGGTTTCTTGACGGACGGTGGCCTAGTTCTAGGTGTGGATTTTGGCTAAGCCGGCTGCTTCGACGGCAAGTCTTTTGGCTTATCATATCCAGTTCTATGCTGGAGAGCCTCCAGAATTTCTTCAAGCCGGCTCCGAGATACTGAGGAAGGCGAAACGTATAACATCTTTTTGGGTAAAGAAATCAGGCAAAACATCTTCTTTGAAATTATAATTCAATACGAATCATATCCAAATATTGGTGCTCCCCGAATTCGAACGATGCCTGGGGGGCAGCATTGCTTGAAACAACGATAAACCCCTAAATCTAACCACTATCCCGAAAAAAGCCGCCGGAAATGAAAAATCCGACGTTGTTCTTCCTGTACAAAGATCCAAATTCCTAGGAGAAAGAAATATCGTCCGCCGCCAACTGAAGACTGCATAGGCCATTATTTTAAGCTGTGAAATTGACAACATAATCGTAAGAGAACAGCGTACAGCACTGCTGCCTTACGCCCTTGCCTGCATGTTCAATGGTATGATCTGCCGCCGGTGTGCAGTGGCGATGGGTGAGTCCGGCGGACTCCGGGCGACTAACTGGTGAGTGGCGAGGGCTGAGTTGCTGACTTCAGCTTAGTTTAGTCGCATTGGCGATGAATTAACTTAAATTGACCATTTTATCTCCATGAATAAATAATTTAAAAATATTTATGTTTTTCTGGTAACCTTTTCGCCGGTGATTTGACTGGTTAAAAATTGCATAGTTACGAGACTAAATTGTTAGTTTTTAAAGTCAAGTACTGAAATTAACACGACTTCAATAGTCACAGGACCAAAATAGTAATTTTCTCAAAGAAAAATAATATAGTTATATAGTACTTTCAACTATATCAAAAATAAAATTGTTTAATTTGGTACAGACAGAAATTTAAGGAATATAATGCAATTAAATCTTCTAAGTAAATTTTTTTTTTTTATTTAAAAAAAAGCTCTAATGGTGTACTCTAAATTAGTAAAATAGTGTAATTGAATTCTAATCTTACATATTTAGCATGTTATTGCCGATGCAATGTTGACTAGATTAATACATGTAGAGATGTCAACCGGATCAACCTCTTTGGTTTAGGGCTAGTCTTGTTGGGTTATTATTGTTATTTTTATTATTATTATTATTATTATTTTTTTTTGTGACGTTCAATTGTTTGAAATTTTTTGCCCTAATTTTAAGGTATTAGTGTATCCGGCGTGCTCAACTAATTTCTTTTTTTTTTAATATTTTAAAATAAACACTCTAAACTTTCAATTGAAAAAACTAACACATTTTAAATTAGTAAATACTTCGTATAAACTTAAACATCATTTAATCAATTTAAATCTCTATTATATAATGCAAGCATGGAACATTCCTTTTATACACACCCAAAATATTACTCCATAAAATAAAACAAGAGTATCAAAGACATATAGTCTGTTTACTAACCAGAGAATTTCAGAAGTTTTCTGAAAAACTAAAAATTAGAGAATAGAAAACAAAAACAAAAAAAAAAAACATATTTACTAACACAGTTTTCCATTTTAAAAATCAGAAATAATTTTCCTTTTTTAGAAAACTTAAGGGTCAGTTTACTAACAGAAAGCTGTTCTCTGTTTTCTGTTTTCTAATTTTTCAGTTTTCATTCTCTATTTTCCATTCTCTGTTTTCTGTTTCGAAAATTTGTTTACTAACAGAAAATTGTTCTCTGTTTTCTTTTTTTCTAATTTTTTAGTTTTCACCTAAAATTTAGTTTAAATAATTTTAATATTTTTTGAGCTAATATTTAAAATATCTCTTTTAGATATATTCATTTTTAATGACATGTGTTGGTTTTAGGGTTTTTGGGCCAAGGAGGTCCAACACAACCTTGATTGATGGATACACCTTTCAATAAAGCTACTAAAAACAGAAAGGAGTAAGCACTTTTGGTGAATATGTCTTTTTATTCTTGGGGCCTGGACTCGCCTGTTTGACACTCTCGGAGGGGCCTTTATATAGCAGGCCCTCCTTTAATTCGGACTTCAAAATACATTTAGGGCCTTTAATGGCCGATTGATGGCTAATTACTTTTAAGGGCCGTTGGGCTGCCGTTACTGGGCCTCCCAACGGTTATTGGACGGGGCTCTTTAATGCTCTCTTAAATGCCTCCAACGGCTCTTTGTTCGGCTGACTGAGTCCTCGTGCCGACCCCAGAGTCTGGCCGACTTCCCGACTCGGTGCAGGTCTCTTTTGGGCCTCCACTCTCTTCCTCGGGCTTCTCTTTATTGGGCTTTTCATTACCCCTTTCTTCTTTGGGCTTCCTTGCTCTCTCAATCTTTTTGTGCCGGGGTCCACACCCCATCAACTAGTCCCTCACTTTTCAATATCCCGGGTCCTAACTCGGATGTTGGAAAGTAACCGTATCTACTCCATCAATTCCGAAAATCTCTCTAAATCTACTTCCCTTAACGGCCGAGTAATGCCTAGATCTCCTGCGATTTGCCTGATTCGCCGGGTCCGTTCGGATTCTTTCCTTCTTTCCTGAGATCTTATAGATAGTGCCATGGTCCTTTGGTTCTTCCTCACCTCTTTTGACCAACCATGGGACGTTCCCCCATAAAAGGAAAAAAGATTGACTTCGAGTCACCGTCTCGCCCTCCTCTCTCCAAGCGGTCGAGACTGGAAAAAGAGGGCAAGAAGAAGGCTCCTCGACCCTCTTCCCGAAGGCATCACTCTGGTGCTACCTCCTCTGTTTTGCGGGCGACGACTGAGGCTCCATCCCCCGTGACAAACTCTCCATCCCTGGTCGACCCCCCACCTCAGACTAAGGCTCACGTCACTGCTCAAGACGGATCCTTTGTCGAGGTGGCGGTTCCGGAGCAGCTGGCTTTTAAGATGACATTCACTATTCCTCTAGACGATCTTGACGGGCCGACGACCAATCTGATGACTGATGCGGACTTCGCTTGCTATCTCGAGCTGTACCCGGATGACGAGGCGCCCATTGTCCCACCTCTCATGCCGGCCTTTTGGGACTCGTTTTGTCCATCTCTTACTGGCCCATCGGAGGAGATGTCTTTCCGGGATGAGCTTTCTTCTTCTGACGAGTGATCGCACCATCCTGGGTCTGCAGGTGGCGGGGCATGGTGTCGAGTGAGGTCTAGTAAAGAGCTGTAAAAGGAACATTTTATATATTTCTGCACAATAAAGTTCCTTCCCCTTCGCTATATTGCTCCTCATATGAATAAAAGTAATTGGATTTTGTCTGCCGGCTGTTTTTCCTTGTTTTGTTTGATTAGGCCTGCCAGTCGACCGACCCCGGAGTCGGCTCATATCTTGCCCCGAGATCTAACAATCGCAATCTTCCAGTATCCCTGGAAGATCTTGCTTTTCTCCAGTTAAAGCGCGAATTTCGCTCTTCCCGAGCGATTTTGATGGGATTTTTCCCTGACATAGATTCCTGACCCTTATCCAATCCTGCCTGAGGATGGCAATTATGATTCCCTTCCGTGATTTACTCCTCGATATTCGCCCCCTTTTGGGCTATAAAGGGAACTCCTTCTCGTTTGTTTTCCTTATCATTTTCTCTGGCAACTCTTTGCACCTCACTTCTTCCGCCATGAGTTATCGAATCGGCGATCGGCGTTTCTCTATCCGCCAAAAAGAGCAGGCTCTACTGGAAAAACTAAGGCAACAAA